GGGAAAAGGGGGTGTGGAACTGCCTTTTCTATGTATATTTTCACTTTGCATGCTGTGCAATCTGAAGTGTCTTTTCCAAAACTCAATGACTACAAAATTATTATTTATTTTAGGAACCCCGGTGACAGTAGAAGTTCATAATAGTAATTCTACTCCACGGTTATTCAAGAATATCTCCTCTGAGAAAGGTATGTGGCTTTATAAAAACAGGCTGCCTTAGTAAAAGAGAAATTAGTTTAAATCATACTATATTAGACAGCTGGCATTACACAGTGCTTGTATCAGAAAATCCTTATTTTATATCTGCATATTTCTAAGAAATCACTAGCTGGTTTTAGCCAAACTACTCCCTTTCAGCCTGAATTCCCTTTCTGTAATATGAGGACAATAATGACTTACTTTATAGACCAGTCATAAAGCTGACAAGAAGTAATGTACGTGAAATGCTTTCAGTAATTGAGAGCACTATATAAATTAACGGTACAGTACAGCACAGAAAAGAAGCTGATTCTAAGCAATTCCTCCCTTTTAAAAATTTGGTTCTAAAGATTTATAGGTAGCCTATGTTTCCCAATTAAAGAAACAAATTAGCTTCAAACTAATTTGCAAATAGATTATTAGGGCTGTACTCTTTCTCATTAAGAAATCAATTCTATGAGATATGAGATATGAGATATTCTAAGTGGTCTGGGGGTCCCTGCTCAACCATCATGGATTTCGATGAAATTTTGTGTGAACATGCAGACATGTCCCCAATGAACATTGGTAAAGTGTTACATTTGCCAATGCAATACTTGCACAGATATAGTCATTTGTGTGACCCCATACTGCTGCCTTCTACAGTATGACTGTGAGGTTCCAGCAACTTTGAGACATAATGTTGTTGACAGAAACGAAATTTGGCCATCTTGTACAACTTTTTGTGCTCTATTAAACAAAATAATAAAAAAAAATTCATGAGCAATCTCCATCTAGAGCAAAGTTGGCCAAAAATATTGCGGCTCAAAAAAGGTTAAAGTTTGGCTTTTTATATTTCCTGAAGAAAAGGTATGATAAACGTGAAAATTTGTGCATAATCACTTAGCAACACAAGGTTTTCAAATATAAAATTTCCTTCTCCTACTGCTTTTCAATAGTTTACAAATTGGATGTAAAATTGACATATTCTGTAATTTTTATATTTTCAGCCCAATTTCACAAAAAAAGGCTGTCTGGAAACTCAGTTAAATTATTCTCATTAGAAACCCTCTAAAAAAGTAGGGTTGTTTTTTTGTGAACATCCAAATCTGACCCTGCTTTCTTCATAAAGATCAGCCAAGATTGATTAAATACTGCAACCTATAGATCCCTAATTTAATAAATAAGTTGCTTCCATTAAAGAAAAAGAAAACATTGAGTTGCGTAAGAAGTGCCTTTTTACTTGGCAAATTTTAAATGGGCACTACCAAAAGCCCTAGTTCAAACAATACTATTAGATACTTTTTATGGGGTAGAAGAAGTACAGTAATTGCAGGTATAGTCAACAGTAAATGTTTTCATTAAAAACTATCAGTTCAATGGAAGAATGGTACAAAATGGATAAGATTATGATGCCTAAGCATTACTGACAATTCTCCATTTGGTCAAATCTGCTTTCACCTATAGTAAATGATACTTAAATTCATTATCAGTTTTTCAGATGTTGTATCCAATATCATAAGAGAAATTAATATCCTAGATTACCCACATTCCCACAATAATGTTATTTATTGTAAGAGGAGAATTTTGAATTAATTCTAGCTTTCTAATTTTGGTCAATTGGACATTCCAATCACATCCCATTTATATTCAATCAATTTCTTGATGCTTTTCTATTGTGATACTTGATAATTTTAAAAAAGAGGTGGATAGATTGAGAGGGAGAGAAAAATATCAAACATTAATTACAATCTAAGTAAAACAATAGGCCCGTTTCAGATGAAAATTTTGCAAAGCTATGACACAAATAGTGATTATATGATCAACTCCTTGATATGCATACTCATGAAAAAGTATATGTTTTTGTCCCAAACACTGCTCAACATCTATTATTATAGTGGGGAAAGATTCTGTAGAGACTGTAATAGTACAGAACTCCAATAGGTTCTTCAGCCTGTGTTTTCTGGTTGTGTGCTACCAAATCTTCTACAACTTTCCAAGCTGGCATATTAGAGTATGCATTTTTCTGTCTATCCAAATTGTTCATATTCTTTTCACAATTTCATAGGTTTTCAAGTGAAACCCAGCCAACCTGAACTGAAAGATCAGCACGGTAACTATATTATATTGTCTATCCCATTTCTACAAGGCTGTGTAATTAATTTATATACTTCAGTAGTTCAGCAAGTCTTTTTTTTAAGTTTATCAAAGTATCTCAGTAAATTATGGTTTAATCTGTTAACAGGAGCTGTAGAAAATATTGACTAATGTTTTATTTAAATTAGGAAACCTGGTCTTCTGAGCTTTTTTAAAAACCCTAATATTTATTAGAATGTTCCTCTCAATATATGAAATGAGCAGAAGTAATATATGCAGAAGAGGGAGAATTCTTGGCAGAGATGACCAATTTAAAGGTATATTTTTCCCTTTGATTCCCTCTAATTCTTTTCTGCTGGTAATGAACAAAAGTATGGTTCTCAATGGACAAACTTGTGCTTTAAAAATTCCAGTGTTGACAAAGTCAGCATTCAAACTTTGTTCTATTTTGCTGTGAAATGGAACTCTTGGGCTCAGGATACTGGAAATGTCCATTTTGGCCAACAACTCTAATCGCCTTCATTGCAGGCATCCAAACTAAAGTATCCCTGACAAATACTTGAACACACCCAAGAAATAGAAGATACCAACTCTCCAGATTGTTGACTCCTCTGATTCTGCTGTTAAAAATGTTTTACATCCCGATTTGCCAAATTAATACTATATCCAAAGTTTTTGGCCCAGGTTATCATTGTTTCCTTCACAGTTTCTTCTTTCTTTCTTTATTTTATTTGGTTGGTCAATTGCTTACAAGGTATAAGTAAAACATAGTTATGAATACATGGATACATATAAGAAAATAAAAGAAACAATAGGACAGGGACGGTAGGCACGTTGGTGAGTTTATGCACGCCCCCTAGGTTTTCTTTTTCCAGTTTATATCTTAACAAATATTTATACATTTTGGTAATCATCTTTCTCTCTGGCCCCTGTAAAATTTTATCCAAATCTTGTTGGTCCAAATATATCCCATACTGTTCTACGTCTTTCTTATATCTAGTTTGGATATGTAGGTATGGCTACCAATCTATTTGTGTTCCTTGTAACACAAGCTCCTGCTTAGATTTTAATTTTCCTTGTTCATCTAATAGCTCTTTGTGACTCACTGTCTTGTTTAGATCTAAAATATTCAGGTATACCATAGATTCAATGGTTGACATCCAGACTGGGATCTTTGTATAATGGTTTCATTTTAGTTTTTCCCAAACCCTAGTAATGTATCTCTAATTTGATGTTTTCGGAAATACAGATGAAATTTATTTTTCCCTTCCCACATGAACGCATGCCAGCCAATCTGCAGGTCATGTCCTTCTAATATTAACACTCTTTTATTCTTTAGATTTACCCAATCTTTAATGCATGTTGCTATTGCAGCCTGATAATAGAGATTCCAATTTCTCCACCACTTCATCTAACTTATTAACAAATTTGTTGAAGAACTCAAGGATTGAATGTTATGGCAACCCACTCAGCACCTTATTCCAGTGTGATGAGGAACCACTGATGATCATTCATTGAGTATGATTTTAAGGCAGCTACATATCTGCTTAATTTCACTTAATTCAGCCTACTCCTAAGTAGCTTATTAATCATTATGTCATGTGATATACTGTCAAACACATTGCAAAAATTAACATGTTACATCTTCAGCTATACCAGAATTTATTTTTAAAAGATAATGCTGGTTTGATAACACTTGCATTGACAAAACTATGCTGACTTTCAGATAATTACTACACTATTTTCAAGATGCTTACAAACAATCTTTATAACATCTGCTTTAGCATCTTCCATATTGAAATCATTCATTTCCATACCCCCTTTTATTTTTTCCGACCAACTGTATATATGTCTATTTGTGTACCAGCAGAAAAATTCTCTGAACACAAATCAGAATGGGATTAAATATGGCAGACACAGCAGAAAATGTCAGAAAAAGAAAAAAATGAGTTTGTAAATGGGTCAATCCAACCAGGAACTATAGAGAACGTGAGCAAATCCATCATCAGTTCAGCCTTATGTCAAAGACTCTTGAGCAGTGAATTGGAATGGTGCCAAATATTTCCCTTTCTCCTGGTATTTGTTGCCTGCCCTGTGCTTTTTTGTATACAAATATGGGTAAGCACACAAACAACTGAGGAAAAAAGCAGAAGCATGCACACATTCATAGGAGGCCACACAATTCATTATTACACTAGAAAAAAAGAAAGAAAATGCCTCCTATGGCTATTTATTGCTGGTAAAGGAATTCCATGTATAATGATCTTTGTACTTTCCCTACCTCATTGCAGATAGAGACAACATCTGCTGTCTTCGAGTTGTCTGGCATCTTACCAATTTCTTGATATTTCTTAAGATAATACATACAGCTTCTGCCAGACCATCTGCAAATTTTCTCTATAATATGTTGCTGTTGCTTTACGGGAAACTCACAGTAGCAACTCTCAAATCAAATGAGCTACCTATAAAAGTGGAAAAAAGTTCACAACTTATTGTTCATCTTTGAATTTTGCCTGTATTTAGTGGCAATAAAAAGCTCCCTGACAACCCAGGAATGTATATTACTTACAGAAAGAATGTGAGACATTATGCTTGAAGACTTAAACTTGTTCCAAATAAATGGACATTCCCCGATTGTTTTTTCTTGATCTCAGTCTTCCCTCTTCCTCCTTCAGCCTGTTCTTCCCACATGTCTGAGGGAAGATATAGCAATAGCACTTAAACCTATATACTATTCCATAGTGTTCTATAGCACTTTCTGAGTGGTTTATAATGTCCGTATATTGCTCCCAATCTATGTCCTCATTTTACTGCCTTCAAAGGAAGGCTGAGTCAACCTTGAGTCCATTAGAGTTAGCTTGCAATACTGCATTCTAACCACTGCATCACCATACCTAGTTGTGAATGAACAGAGTGTCAAAACAGGAGTTGTGTGTTTCTGCCTTTTATTTCATGTTAGGTTTGATTAAGTTAATTTTTAGTTTGGGTTGGCAAGTAGCATTTGGCCACTTTCTTCATTGAACAACTGTTACAGTTATTTTATTTTTATTTTGAACATGCCTGAAAAAAAAAATTGTCTGTGTGTTTGTTAGCCTCTTTTGCCAACATCAGCTGTTGGCTTGGTTACAAGCATGGCACAAGCACTGTGGATCACAACTACAGATTCAGTTGCATTTTTATTTTTTAAGACATCACCAGGAAAATAATTTTGTTGCTTATTTGTCCATTCCTAGATTTTCAAATTATTTAAATGGTGTGATAGAAACACACACACACACAATATTAATCATTACTTATGGTTAATTTAATATTTTCTTGAAAAGAAGTCACCAGAAATGGAAATTTATAATTTAGGTTTATTTACATCTGTGTACAGGCTAAGCAAAAGAGAATTTTATAGTATTAATAACAGATTTCCATTTTCCACTAAAGAAACCAAAGCATTTAATGGTAAATATCAAACCTTCCCTTTATTTTTCCAGTTATATTAAATATGAAAAGAAAAATAGGATAGTCTGATCTTTTCTGTTCATTAATCATTAGAAGATGATGGCCAAATTTAATTCATGCAACAGCCTGAATAAGAACTTTAATTCCCTTTAATTCATTTTTCAATGGAAACACATTCATAGTGACTACTTGAAGTCAAGAGGTAAGATTTTTGGGTGCCGACATAAGAAAGTTGCACTCAGAAGCATCTCTAGCCATCAAGAGAAACACAGCAGAACAGTAGCTTGAGGCTCATTCAGATTAACCCCAAATCATTTCAATATTCTCAAGACTAATAACTTGTCCTCTTCCCTATACTAGGCTATAAATCTTTCAGATTACAAATGAATTCATTTATAAATGAATAATGATGTAAAAGACTACCATACTCCCTGTTGATTAAAGTTGCCATTGAAATTAAAAATAAACAGCAATTAGATTTTTTAAAAAAACCAAAGGCCCAAGTACATTTCCAACTAAAAAAACTTGCAACAATTAAAATAACATAAGCTTTAACTAAAGCTAAAGACTTTTTCCCTGCTCTATCTTTTGCACACATACATACAAATGCTTTTGTTTCTCACAAAGATACAACTTTCTTAGATCTTCTACACACACACACACACACACACACACACACACACACACACACACACACACTGTATTTTTGATGTACATTGACAATATGCTCTGGCAGCTACAGCCATCAGATTTGTATTGCAAAAGTCCAAGGACATGCAGAAAATGCTCTTTGCCATCACCTAAGTCAGTGTTTCTCACTCCCAGCGTGGACTTCAGCTCTTATAATTCCCCAGCCAGAAGCCTGGGGGCTGGAGTCCATGCATCTTAAAAATTGCAAAAGTTGAGAAACACTGACCTAGGAAAGAGCATTTTCTTCATGTCCTTGGACTTTTGCAGTGAAAATCTGATGGCTGTAACTGCCAGAGCATTATAAAAAAAGAGACCATAGTGTCCATCTGAAATTTTTCAGCCCAAGACTAGTGTAGTTCTACAAAGAAACGAAGCAGATTTTAAAAGGCAAACAAAAGTTGAGTCTGTCAGAGGAAAGAGATGGATGGAGAGCAACCTTTTAAAAAATGACTGGATGCTGTTATAATTTCAAATGCTTTGCAACCCTACAGGAGATCCAATGTAGAACTTAAGGGAGCTTTTCATGTCCCTAACCTTTCCCAGTGTTACTTCTGTGGAATTAAATTCCTTTACATTTGGTGTATGTTTTAGTTGAGATAGCAAATAGTAAGATGGGTTTTTAAACCTGGGATAGAAAGTGCCTGCCAGAATTTGATGTGGCCTTTGTTTGTTCAAATGGAATAATGTATTCATTTAACTAGCATACGGCATTATCATACATGGACTAGTAATATATATTAACATTTCACCTAGATTAGTACAACACAATAAAATACAATCGTTGAAAAGATCTATGTTCAAATACCAATATCTAGGCCAACTAACCATTTAAGTGCAGCATAGTTTATATTTTTTTAAAAACGCATTACCAGCAGCCTGGTACAGAATTCCAGCTGTTGATGGTATCTTTATATCATTGAATGATTTCTTGTGAATTCTGCTGCTGTTTTGAGCCTTTTCAGTTATAGCCTGACAAACAGCAAAACAGACCACCAGTTTAAAGAAAGACCAAGCTCCCAAATGGTAAAAAGTAATTTTCAGAAATGTGCAGACTAGGAACCTCTTAAATGCATAAAACTGCTTTACCTCTCTTTAGGTTACTGAAATAGCCCTCTTCCATAAAAGGCCATATATACAAACAAGCTTATTAAAGAGACAGATGCCTGGTGCTGATTGAGACAGACAGATGGCTGCTCAGCTCATTAGGTGGCTCACCGGTCCATCTTTTCTTGCTTGAAGTTTTGCCTTCACTCACTGCAGCCTAGAAATGAGGTTAAATCCTAAACTATCCTCCAGCATTTGCTATAGCTTCTGACACAAGTCTTTTCTTTGGCAGCATCTGTCCTTCCCTGTAATCTCAGGTACAAAAGAAAGTTGTCTCCCTAACTGTATATATGGAATAGTGTAACTCTGGGAAGCTCCAATCTGAAATAGTGTATTACTGCAGTTTGCTCTACATAGGGCTGTCACCTGGAAATTTCTGAATAAATTATCTGAGTAAAGATGTTTGAGAATATGGAAGTTCTCCCAAGGAATACCTTCACTTTGAAAATTGCAGTGGTTGCCAGGTGATTGTCAGCAATCCAAGGTGCTGAAAGTTCTACATATCTCAGGATCAAGATTAACTGGTGGTCTGATTTCTGTTCCCCATGGGCTCTGCCTGTCCAGTGAAATCAAATATGGCAAAACTACACTGGTTCTTTTCTTTTAGGAACTCCATTTACCGAGCCTTAAGGAGTTGGAATAGATTTCTTCTAGATTTCATCCTGCTATGTTTTAGGGAAACCATTAAATCTAGGCTTTTTAAGATAGTTCTGGGAGGAGGCTTTGTGTTAGTAGGGCACTCCCACTTTGTGGTATATTTGGATGGGGTTTGTTGATGAGCATAGTTTTCTTTGCAATGTTTGATTACTATGCTTTTTCCTGTTAGTTATATTATTTGTTATACTTACCAAAATATATTAATAGTTAATATTTTATTTAAAGCAATACAAACTACTTGGAGGTCATTATATAGGAACTGCATATGACCCCCAGGTACTATTCAACTCAAATGAGTGTTTGCTAATTTACAACCTTTCTTAAAGATCAACTCCCTCCCATCCACTCCAATATATAACCATTTTTTAATTCAGTCCAAATTTTTGGTGATAGATAAAATTCATATGGGAGGACTGGAGTTTTAGGACAATTTAAAGTTATTTCACAAGATCACAAGATCTTAGGAAAAAAAACATTAAAAACTCATGACATGAGATAATTCTCAGGATGGCTATTATCTAAAAGTAGCATGGAACTTAACTGTTGGATTAGATTATGTGTGTTTTTACAAGTACAACCCAAGTTGAGTCATGCATCAAACAAAATCCTTGCTACTCAGAAATAAAGTAGAGTAACAATCAGACCAACAATCAAATAAGCACTACCCCCATCAAGAAGCTGCCAAAGAGCCATCAGTAAACAGCCCAACTAAAGCATGTCTATGACCACTCCCACTCAAACAGACAGAATATAAACTGACAGCAAGCAGCACTCCTTATTAGCACTAATGTTGTTACCTAGTTAGGGTAATGAAACATTTGCAAGAAAACAAGCAATTTCAGAGGGCACCAAGGACCCCTCACAAAGTGGAGCAGTTTGGTAAATAAGAAAGCAGAGTCCCTACCTTCTTTATAAAGTTGTAGAAATCACCTAATCTGAGCAGTAGGTGTTTTCCTACTTCTGTACCTACTCTGTATCTATAGTAGCACTTACCTGATGCAATATTGACTTTATACTAACATTGTAAGACATAACTGCCATCACCTGACTCAATTCTGCTTAGCTGACTTCTAACCCGAATAAAAATGAATGATACTATTTGCAGACAAAATCTCACAAGTATGTCAGCCTGGGAGCAAGTTATATTTTGCCCTAAGCAAGGCCACTGAACAAGAAACTGCATATATATTAAGTAGAAAGCAGTATACATTTGCTTCACTGCTCTTAATGCCAGATTGACCCAATACCCTTGCTTGGTCATATTTGTGCCTAATTCTGTTATTACTGCTGCATCTTTAAGACTCATTAGTTGTGTTATTTAGGATTTTACATAACATTTTATTGTGTTAACATAATACAGTGAGCTAAAAAAAAACCCAACCCTGAAGTATAGAAGCCCTTATTATCATTCTAAATTAGATTTACTAGTTTGTTGGCTTGTTCTTTCTAGAATAATTAAACTAGGGAGATCAATTGCAGAAGAAGGTAGGGCTTCTGCATCCGGTCATCCTAATTATTCCTGATTGCATGTTTATTTCCAGCTTATCCATGGGACAAATCATGCTTAAAATCTATGCCTTTGGACCTGAAGCAATTTGAAAAATTGGATGCATATGCAGAAAAGGTAAATAAATTCTGAAAGTAATAACAGCATGCCTCAGAGTTGCCACCCTTTCTAGATGTAACCCATGGCCCTAGATATATTAGTATTTACTGCATTGCATAGATTCTGGTATTAATGATTTCCAGAAACATTATGGAATTCATGTGTAGTCTAGTTATTTAGTTTTCTACCTATTTTAAATGATGCTGTTTTAGTTATGCTAACTGCTTTATATATACACTATATTGTTTTTTAAATAATTGTGTTGTATGTCCAAATTAGTAGCATGTTTGATAGTTAGTCAAGAGTTATAGAGCTGCTAATAGCCAAACTGATAATCCAGATACTGCAATCTATTGGTTGCAATCTATTGCTTCAGACAAGTTTCACTTGAACAGAATATAGTATACAAATGATCCATCTGAGAGCTTTACTGTATCTGAGAGCTTTACTGTATCTTCTATTGTATACTGATTTCATTCTTTCACAATTATCTTTTTTTAAAAAAAAAATTTATTGCTTTTTAAAACAAACATAAACAAACAAAACATAAAAACATCAAGTCATCTTCTATATATATACATACAGTGTGCCGGTTGGTTTACAAATCATTTTGTAGTCTTCAATTACAATTACATTGCATATAATCTCATATTTTCAATCAAATATTAAATACATTAATATCATTATTAATCAACCATTTGACTATACTTTTATTCATTCATGTTTTACAAAATAATCATATTTTACTTAATTTGTTTTATGACAGTTCATATTATCATCCCAAATCTATCCTAGAATCATTTTGTAGATATAATAAGAAAAGAATACATCTTTCTATATTTATTATTTTCTAAGAATCTACATATTTCATTATCATGTTTTATTTTCTAACCATTGATAGAATAGATCCCAGATTTTATAAAATTGTTTATCATCTTGTTCTCTAATTTCAAATGTCAATCTACTCATTTCAGCACATTCCAATATTTTCTTAATGATTTCCTCCTGTGATGGTATTTTCTCATTTTTCCAGTTTTTAGCAAATACAATCCTAGCCGCTGTTAGTACATTTACAATCAGATATTTCAAGTCTTTACTATATATTCCAGGTAAAATTCCCAATAAAAATATCTCTGGTTTCAAATCTATGTTTTTTTGTCATTTTTTCCAACCATGTGTGGATTTTAGTCCAGTATTTTTTAGCGTCCGCACAAGTCCACCACATATGGTAATATGAGCTAGGTGTCTGATGACATTTCCAACATTTTTCAGATTTATTCTTGAACATTCTTGCTATTCTTGTCGGGGGAAAATGCCACCTGTAAAACATCGTATACAAATTTTCTTTATATGCTGTTGACATTGTCATTTTATAATTTATAATCAATCCCATATCCAAAATTGTTCCCCCAAGCAATCATAGTTTCTTTAACTTGTTCCTTTTCTAGTTTAATTTCTAATAAATATCCATACAATTTTTAATCACCTTTTCATCAGTACCTGTCAAAATCTTATCTAAGTTAGTCAGTTTATCATAGAAACCTTCTGTTTTAGAATCTTTATCATACCTTGAATGTATTTGCGCATATGAAAACCAATTCATCATTATACCTTGTTCCTCTAGTTTTTGTATAGATTTAAGTTCACCCTTTTCATTCAATATTTCACCATATCTAACTGTTTGTTCCTTTTTGTATATTATAGGATAAGAAAATGCTTCAATAGTCAATAGCCAGACTGGAATTTTCAAATAACATTGTCTTTTAATCTTCTCCCAGTTTAACCACAGAGACTCCTGTATATAATGTCTTCTAAAATACCCCTGCGTTTTAATTCCTTTATACCATAAAAAAGCATGCCACCCCAACAACAGATCATGTCCTTCTAATGTCAACAATCTAGTATTTCTTAATGTTATCCATTCCTTAACCCATATCAAATTTGTAGCTTGGTAATACAACTCCCAATTCGGCAAACCAAATCCTCCTCTTATTCTAGCATCTTGCAAAAGTTTTAACTTTATTCTCGCTTTCTTACCTTGCCATATATATTTCAACACAATTTTATTTAAATCTTCAAAGTAGTCTTTTCCGAGCCGAATTAGAATTGTCTGAAACAAATATAAAATTCTGGGTAATATATTCATCTTGATTGTTGATATTATCCCTATTAATGACAGTTGTAAATTTTCCCATTTCGCCAAATCTAGCGCTATCTGCTGTGTAAGTTTGATATAATTATTCTCTTTTAGTGTACTGCATCTTGCTGTCAAGTATATCCCCAAGTACTTGATCTTATTCGTAACCTGAATTTTCAATAGGTCTGCCAGTTCTTCCTTTTGTCTTGATAGCATATTCTTTGTCAAGATCTTTGTCTTATCTTTATTTATTTTCAAACCAGCCACCTTCCCATACGTCTCTATCTTTTCTGTCAATTTTGATGCTGTTTCTAGTGGGTCTTCTAAGATGAAAACCAGATCATCTGCAAATGCTTGCAACTTAAATTCTTCCTTTTTAATCTTCATTCCTTTTATATTCTTTTCACCTCTAATATTTCTATTTAGCACTTCCAAAGTTAACACAAACAACAGAGGTGATAGTGGGCACCCTTGTCTTGTTCTTTTTCTTATATCAATAGAGTCTGTCAGTTCTCCCTCTATCATTACCTTTGCTGTTTGCTTATGATATATAGCTTCTATTACATGGATAATTTTTTTTACCAAAGCCCATCTGCTCCAATTGTAGTAACATAAATTGCCAATTCACATTGTCAAAGGCCTTCTGTGCATCTAAAAATATCAAAGCCATTTGTTTTTCAGAATGTGCCTCACAGTATTCCAAAGTGTCCGATATTACTCTCATATTGTCTTTAATTTGTCTCTTTGGCAGAAATCCATTTTGATCAGCATGGATAAAATTATTTAAATATTTTTTAAGTCTTTCTGCCAATATTGAAGCAAAAAAATTATAATCTGCATTTAGCAGGGAAATAGGTCTATAATTCTTGATTTGTAATGGATCGGTCTCCTCTTTTGGAACAAGTGTGATATAAGCTTCTGACCATGATTTAGGTATCCTCTTCTTTAACAACTTCATTCATAACTTCTAGCAATGGAAGATTCAGTAATTCTTGTAATGTTTTGTAAAATTCTGCCGGAAGTCCATCTGGGCCTGGTGCCTTTCCATTATTTTGCTTCTTGAGTGCTTCAGTTAATTCCATCATCGTTATATTGCTTTCTAACATTGTTTCAATTCCTTTAGGTATCTGGGGTAAATTAGCATTCTGTAAATACTGATTAACTCTTTCCTCGTCAATATTCTCTTGTGTGTATAGTTTCCCATATTAGTCTCGAATGATTTCCTTCTTCTCTTTACTACCATAGCAAACTTGGCCTTGGTCATCTATTAATTGCAATATTTTCCTTGATTCTTTCTCCTTTCTCAATTTATATGCTAACCATCTACCTGGTTTATTTGCATCTTCAGAGTAGTTCTGTTTAGCACCTCTAATTTTCTGTGCTAATTCTTCTTTTTCTATTAGACCCATTTTATGTTTGGTTATATCCATTTTTAACTTAATGTCCTTTTTCTGTGGCATTTTCTGTAGCTCTTTTTCAAGTCCTTTTTCATCCTCTAATGCCTTAGAGGCTAATCTTTTCGTGGTATTTTTTTTCCTTGTATAGTCTATAAGTCTCTGGCATATGCCTTCATTGTATCCCATACATTCTGGATTGATGTATCTTCTTTTTTGTTTTCTCTATAGAAAAAAGGCAGTTCTTTCTCCATCCACTGAGTGAAGTCTTTTTCCTTTAAAATAGTATTATATAACGTCCATCTAGATCTTCTTCTTTGTCCTTTCCATTTAATTGTCATTGGATTGTGATCTGCCCAAGTACTTGTTTCAATATTTATTTCTTGAATATTAGTTAACAATTCTGTTGACATCCATATCATATCTATTCTGGACCATGATAAATGTCTATTTGAGTAGAAGGTGTATTGTTTAGTTTTAGCATTTTTTTCTCTCCATGTATCTTTTAAGTTTATTTCATCTACCATTTTAAAAAAAGATTTAGGGAGAGTCTTTCTGTTTTGCTTTGTTGTTTTCTGTGCTGTATAGTCCAGTTTATTGTCTACAATTCCATTAAAATCTCCCATCGTAACTATATTAGCATAGTCCAGTTCAATTATTTTCATATGTAATTTTTTATAAAATTCTTCTTGATTGCCATTCAGGGCATAGATTGCAATCAGGAATGTTTTCATATTATTGGTTGTCATTCGGGGAATAGATTGCAATCAGGAGTGTTTCCATTATTTCTACCATTAGTATTCTTCCGTCGTCATCAGTATAAATCAATTTCGCTGGGATGGTCTCTTTAATATATAAAACTCCTCTTTTCTTGCATTGTGTCAAGGAAGTAAATATTTTCCCTAATTTTGGCTGTATCAACAATTGTTCATATTATTTTTTAATATGTACTTCTTGTAGGCAGATTATATCAAATTTTAATTTCTCTAATTTATGGAAGGTTTTCCTTCTTTTAACAGCTGAATTAAGTCCATTTATATTAATTGTAATCAATTTTTTCTCTTCCGTGGTTATATTTTGTAGTTAGGTTTGACAGCTCTCGTGGATCTTGGTTTACATTGTTCTTTGGCTTCCTCCTTTCCACCTACTGCACCTTCTTCTTTTTCAGTCATCTTTTGGCAGTCCTCTTGGAATTCAATTGGTGAAATTTCTTTTTCTACCTCTTCCTCTTTCCCTCTGAAAAAATCTGTGTAAAATGATTCAGCTTTCTCAATTGAGTCAATTCTATATCTCTGTTCTTGCCATGTGAACATTAAACCTTCTGGAATCAGCCATATATAATTCACCTCTTTTTTAAGTACAAATTTGGTCAAAAATCAATATTCTCTTCTCATCTCTCTCATTCTTCTGGATACGTTTCAAGACCACAATCTCCTTATCTTTGTATTTCAATGTTTTTTCTCTTGCCACTTGCAATATTTGTGTTTTAATGGCTTTCTTTGTAAATCTGATGTGAACTTCTCTTGGTAAGCTATTTCTCATTGCAAATCTTGTGAAGACTCGATAGACCTCATCTATTCCATCCATCATCTTCTCTTCAGTTATTTCCAAAGCTTCAGCCAATATTTCTATCATTATCTCAGCTAGATTTTGTCCTTTTTCTTCCTCTATGTTTTGGAATCTAAGATAAAATTCTGATCTGTCCATCTCCCATCTCAGCATACCACTTTTATCTTGTTCAACCACAGTTAATCTGTTATCGATGTCTCCAATCTTCTTGTCTCTTTGTTTATCTTCTTCTTCAATTTTTTGGAGTCTCTCATCATACTTCATCATCATCTGTTGGATGTTCTCCATTTTTTCATCAGTTTTCCCTGTTCTTTGTTCAGTGTTCTCTATTCTCTTTTCAACATTCTCTGATCTTGTTTGAATATTTTGAATTCCTTGCATAATCATCTGCAGGGTCACTTTTTCTTGTTCTTGTTCTTGCCTTAACATTGTCTGTATTGAACGTTGTCCTCCAGGTGGTGGAGAGGAAGAAGTAGAAGTTGAGGAACCAGGAGCTATTAATTTCCTACTCATTTTGAGCAATTCAAAATCTTCAGGTTCTTCTAGACCTTAATCCAATTGTGAAACAACCAATTGCAGTTCCAAATAAAAATAGTAGGAAAAAAGAAGCCAAACAATAATAATAATAATTTTAAAAAAATTTCTTCAGGTTCTTGTATACCTTAATGCAATCAATTGATTAGATAACAGTAAAAATTCAAAAATGAAGGAAAAGACCATAAACACACACAAAAGAGAAAAAGTTGTAAAATCCTTAAAAAGGTGGAAAAGTGAAGAATAAAAAGCTAAAAAAAGAAAGGAAAAATTCTTCAGGTTCTTCAATACCTTAATCCAATTAAGAGGTCTCAAATATAAAAGGATGCATAATAGAAAGAAAAAAAAGAAGGCCAGAAAAGTAGCCCCCCCCCCCCAAAAAAAAAAAAAACCCAATATGGAAGGTAGATGGAAAGACAAAAATACCAGGAAGGGAGAGAGAGAAAAAGGCTACTCCCTTAAAAAGAAAAGGAAGGGAATCATTAATACTAAAGCTTTTCCTTTAAAATAAAAAGCAAGTGTAGAAATTTAACTTCCAAAGACAAGAAAAAAAACAAAGACAAGTTCCAAAGAGCCAAAAATCCAAATAGCTATTACAAAAAGTAAACTGATGAGGAGAGGTAGCGCAGCTTAGAAAAAATAAAAAGAGCCCACTGCACTTTGTTTAATTATCCAAGGCTCTTGTTATAACTCTCTTCTCCAGAGACTTATCAACTTTTCTTTTCCTATAAGCTTCAATACCAGACTCCAGATGTTGATAGAAACCCAGAAGAGCACCTGCAATAATACTCTCCCATGCTCTTCCCTCTATCTTATCGAACAGGCAATGTCCTTGAAAAGAAGTCTCAGTTCTTTCTCAGCTTTGTCTTGTCAAAAGAGAAATAGAATATTTCCAAGCCTCTAGTTGGCAGTGTTACAAAGTTTCTTTTGCTTTCATTTTCCCCCTCCTTTTCCAAGCAAAATATAATAAGAATTAATTAAAAAAAGAAAAAGATATTTTTAAAAAATGTCTAAAAGGGAGTCTCTAGCCTAAAATATTATAAAGTCAAAAAGTTCTACTGTCCGTAGAACAAGCTAAAATTATTTTCCCATCTATCCTTGCATAGACTGCATTGACCGTCAGCAAGTCTTCAATTTCTCCTATCTTGAAACTAGAAAGCTGAAGAACACTGTATATCAGCCTTATTTGTTAGCAGAACACAATAGGAAATTTCCCTGCTCTCCAATTTCTTAACTGAAGATGCCAGGACCAAACTTAAACATGTTTGCATTTGTGTCATATATTCTATTAGTTAGCTAAGGCATTTCCCCTAGACATTTTTCTGATCTTCTTCCTTAAGAATTTTCAAATTTGCATCCATTTTTATCATTAAAGTCGTAAGACTATAGAAGCTTTTTAAGAAACATCTCAAATCTTATCAAACATATTTCTTCTAAATTCCTTAGATGTCTCACTCTGAGGGGACCCTCCAGATTTATTTCCACTTTTGCAAAGAAAATCACATTGGTAACTCAATACAAGTTGATAAATATTTATTACAAATACATTCATAACCCAAAATAGATGCCAATAAAAGGGGAATATCTGTAGCTCAGGATTGAAATGAGGGGTCCTTGGTGCTCTCTGAGCTTGGTTGTTTTTTTGCAGACAATGAAATATCTCCAAGAAAACAACCAAGCTCAGAGAGCACCAAGGACTCCTAACAATGAGATACTTCTCACAAATGAAGATGATATTCATATCCCAGGATAATATTGCAGGATTCAATCTGGGCCAATCATCAGAGCCAGATTCTGAGCTTTCAAACTCGTTTTGGAGTCCATCTTCAGGGAACATCCCTCTAGCAGAGCGTGTGCTGTTCTGTGTGTGGTATTTATATGGTGCCTGTTTGTGGCTTTTTAGATGTTGATTGGGGTGTTGATGTCTGGTTATTAAGTCATTGGCTGTTGCTTGCTTGTGCTGCCCAGCCCTCACATTGATAAGTACTTGATAAGATGGTGGTAAATCAGCACTCCTGTTGACTAATGAGGGGCCTGTTTCCCAGGCTTCAATCACTTTCCTGGCTGTTTTTGTGCCCACTCACCCAAAAATCTTAGTAGTTGCAAATGTCATTGCATAAGTCATTGCAGTGTGAAGCTACCAATGAGATTGAGTTGCCTTATCTGACTGCTCTTGCAATCCGAAGGTTAACTTCACCCCTGTCTGTCCTATATAGTCACAGGGGCAATCCATGCAGGGGATTCATTAGTTTATATTGAAAATATTTCCCACCTCCAAATGATCTTTACAATGCGTAGTTTGTCCTCATATGGTAGCCTCTGGGCAGTGTGCAATGCCCACTTGCAGGCCTCAGAAGTTGTGTTCTACAACTCCTGAAATGTTTTTAATGTATGGCAAAAACCATATGGTTGGTCTTGTACCTTGTTTCTTTCTTTCTCTTCCCATCATGTTGTGCAGACATCTTGTAATAAATAATTGTAGGTACCAGTGTGGGGTTCAAATTTTTTTACTACCGCTTCTGTGAGTGTGGCTTGGTGGGTGTGGCAGGGAGAGGATACTGTAAAATCTCCAGTCAGAGGTGGTGTTTGCTGGTTCTCCCAACTACTCAAAATTTCCACTACCAGTTCTCCAGAACTAGTCAGAACCTGCTGGATATCACCTCTAGTAGGTAATCATTCTGCTTACCTGACCGAGATTGGATCCATGAGATACTTCTAATTATGCAGCTTCCAAATTTTTAGAATATAGTCTTGATCAGCCAATAGAGAAAATTACAGATTAATAAAATATCTGCTTTGGCCTGACAACTAAACAATTTTGGCTTTCAATAAATATACATTGTGAAAGAAAATAATTGACTTGTAATCAGTTATAGTTACTCACGCCTGAATAAACTGTACACATAAAATAGTAAAGTAATCTTTCCTAACAGTGTCTTTGAAATTTAAGACATGGGTGGCAGTCAAGTACAAGTGTAACAAGTCAAGTATAGCAAGAGTAAGGGAAACCCTGCTCTATCTTATACTTCAATGTTTAATGAGGCTCCTGTACAAATATATAAGCTTGCCCTCCCCCTCCAATCACCCCTAAAATTATCCTAAACCGAACTGTGAACTTTTGTGCTTTCTTTGACAGAAGGAAATCAATTGTGTGATCAAATGTGCCTCTATAGCAGCAGAGGGGAAGTATTTTGCCAATTGTTTCCAAAAGAAAAGGTCTAGAAAATAAAGGATTGAACTCAATAGGATCTTACTGTCTTCTTTCTGACCATGGACCTAGCAAATAGAGATGCATGGACTTTCTGAACATTAGGGAATGAAAGCCGACTGACTGTTGGTTTCAAATTAAGACAATACCTTACTATCTAACATCCTCAAATTACAGGTGAATGCCAAAAGCAATGTGGAAGAATTAGTGGAAAACTTGCTCCGTGTAGCACATACTGACCTGGAGAAAGTTAGAGCCATTTGGATATGGATAAGCCACCACATAGGTAAGCAGTCTCTTTCTATGAAATGTGTGGGTAAGACTCATTGTTTGCCTTGTATTTATGCCTGCTATTGTGTTCTAACAGCCTATAATGGAAATATATGACTGAGGGGACCTACTATAGTCAAGATTCTCAACCCTGTTTTGCTCCTACCCCCTTTTGAGACCCATGTATTTCTGACTGTCTTGGGTTCTTTTTTAAACTACACCAAATATGATTGACCTATACTCCAAAGGTCTAAAGAGCACTGAAACCAGGACTGGTGGTTTTTTATATATATGTCTGTAAGTTTGGGGAACTGTTGTATTTTGGAAAAAAACCCAAGATATATAATTGAAATAAACAAATACCTGTGCTTCCTATTGCCTCTATTTTATCCTATATAGTAGGTTTTGACTTACAACCATTTGTTTTAGCGACTATTTGGAATTACAACAGCAAAAAAGTTTTTAAAAAGTGACTTATGACTGGTGATCACACTTACAACAACTTCAGTATCCCCATGGTCCTATGATCAGAATTCAGGCACTTAACAATTGGCATACATTTCCAATGGTTGCAGCATCCCTGTGATGACCCGAGGTGTGGCACAAAGGCAACAGTAAGATAATCAGTAGAAGTCTCTTCATTACCTCCAACTTTTCCCCCCGTGTCCTGGTTACCTTCTGGTTGGAGAAAAACTCTCCCAGGAACAGCCTTTGGCTGCAGAGAATCAAATCCAAAACAAGGTAAAAAACAAACAAACCTGTAAATATAAGTCCAATCAAGGCAAAATGAGGTAGTCTGGCAGGGCAGGAGCAAGAATTCCAGATGTGAAGGCAGAGCAATAACTCAACATGGTTGGGAGGATGCCAGGAACCCAGATAATCAAAGTCAACAAAAGATAAACTTACGTTTGCCCCCAGCAGCTGCTGCACTCACCATGCATCTCTTAATAATAACAGATAGTAACAGATAATCAGAGTTGGAAGGTCATCTAGTCCAATCCCCTGCCCAAGCAGGAGACCCTGTACCATTTCTGACAGATGGGAGGCCAATCTCTTCTTGAAAGCTTCAAATAATGGCACTTCCACAACTTCCGAGGGCAAGCTGTTCCATTGGTTGATTGTTCTCACTGTCAGAAAGTTTCTTCTTATTTCTAGGTTAAATCTCTTCTTGTTCAGTTTCCACCCATTATTCCTTATCTGGCCTTTGGGTGCTTTAGAAAATAGCATGACCTCTTCCTCTCTGTGCCAGCCCCTCAAATATTGGAACACTGCTATCATGTCTCCCCTGGTCCTTCTCTTCACTAGACCAGCCAAGCCCAGTTCCTGTAACCATTCTTCATATGTTTTAGTCTACAGTCCCCTAATCATTCTGGTTGCTCTTCTCTGTACTTTTTCTAGAGTCTCAAATATTGTTTATAATGTGGTGACCAAAACTGGATGCAGTACTCTAGGTGTGGTCTTACTAAGGCTTTATAGAGTGGTATTAGTACTTCCCTTGATCTTGATTGTATCCCTCTGTTAATGCAATTTAGGTCTGCATTAGCTTTTTTGGCTGCTGCTGCACACTGCTGGCTCATATTTAGCTGGTTTTCCACTAAGACTCCAAGATCCCTCTCACAGTTACTGCTATTGAGCCTGGTTTCACCCAGTCTATATGTGTACATTTGGTTTTTCTTGCCTAAGTGTAAGACTTTACTTTTCTCTACATTGAATTTCATTTTGTTAAATATGGCCTAGTCTTCTAGTCTGTCTCCATGTGGATGTTGAGCCTATCTTCTTGGGTGTTGGCGATTCCTACCAGCTTAGTATCATCTGAAAATTTGGTAAATTTCCCTTCTAATCCATCATTATGTTGTTAATGAAGATATTGAAGAGTACTGGGCCTAAGACGGAACCTTGTGGCACCCCACTGCTTACTTCCGTCTGTGTAGACTTAGACCCATTAAGGACTACTCGTTGAATATGGTTTGTCAGCCAGTTGCGAATCTATCTGGTGGTGGTGCTACTTATCCCACTTTCTTCTAGCTTACCAAAAAGTACATTGTGGTCTACTTTGTTGAATGCCTTGCTGAAATCTAAGTATATTATGTCCACAGTATTTCTCTGGTCTACTAATTTAGTCACTATGTTGAAGAATGAAATAAGATTGGTTTGGCATGATCTGTTTTTAACAAACCCGTGCTGACTGCTAATTATTACTTTACTTGATTCTAGATGTTGGCAGGTCTGTTTTTTTATTATCCTTTCCAGTATCTTCCCGGGTGTTGATGTTAGGCTGATTGGTCTGTAGTTTCCTGTGTCTGTTTTTTTTTCCCCTTTTTTGAAGATGGGAACCACATCAGCTCTTTTCCAGTCCTCTGTAGTTCCCCAGTGTTCCATGATCTTTTAAACTCTATTCCCAGCTGTGGCTAATGAAAGGAATCAGGGCCCTTTCCTCCCCCATAAGCCATGAAATACACGTTGCTCTCTTCTCCGTTCCTCCCTGCGTACCCTAGGATGAAGAGGGGGTGGGCCTGGGTCTTCCTCTGAACTCCCTCTCCCTTGTTCTACCTCTTCTCTGCTCTGCCCAGTGAAACTTTGTCCTTCCCCAATTTCCTCCACAGCCAACAGAGCCACATTCCCACTCCCTGTCAGCTGTTCATCTTCCTCCTCGGAGTCAGACTGCGACAGGGGCATGACAATCCCAGCCTTACATGAGTGCCATTTTTGGCCTTCCCAGCCAACTTCCAACAAGCAAAGTCAATGGGGGAAGCCAGATTTGCTTGATGGCCATGTGATCCAATTAACAACTGTGACAAAAAGTTCATAAAATCAGGCGCAAGTTACTTAGCCATCACCTTGGTTAGTAACAGAAATTCTGGTCCCAATTGAGGTTTGCCATACTGTCATTGGGGAGAAGATTCAAATAGGAAGGAAGGCAAAACAGGTGCCTGCAATTTTTCTAAGCAGCCTGCTTTCCCAGAGGCTCCCTCATAGTTACTGTTGATATTTATTGTAAATGTATTCTAATTTTCAATTATTTATGCTGCTGAAATTAGCATACAGAGCAAGATGAGAAAAATGTGATGATTTGATCACATGCCTAGTAGAGTGGCCTTCTCAGAAACTTACTGTGGCCCCCTATAAATGTGGCATGATCCTAGAAGGGAGAGCTCATATGGCTATTGCAAACAACTGATCTAGAATAACTCCCTTCTGGGCAAAAATATAGCTAGTATCATTCACAGGAAATATCTATCTTAAGATACTTTTCCAAGAATTGCCTAACATCAGGAAACATATAAAATATTGCTTTTCTTGGATATTCCATCTTCCTTCTCTCAGCTGTTTTGCAAAACTGACAACTATTTTTTCCAGGAAAATATTTGGAATAATGAATTATGGAAAAATATGTGTAAAAAATCAGGAGAAATGTATACAAAAAGCATATGTGTAGACTAAGTTGAGCTGAAAACTTAAATAAAACTTATTTTACCAGAATTAAAGATATCATTCATTATTAGAGTAAGATTGAAAAAACTGGTAATCTTGTACATTTTAGCTTTTTATCCACTTGCTGTTTAAGGTACATATACATGATCTACCTTGGAACAAGTACTGGTAGGTAGTTCTAGAGTACAGAAACTTTTATAATTTCATATTGCTGGTTTTATGTATTACTTGTTCCATTGCTCCTGCAGAATACGATGTCGTAGGTTACTTCAATACAAAGAATGTGTCTTTAAATCCCCAGGATGTCTTGCAGAGTGGAAAGAGCATTTGTGCGGGATATGCTAGCCTCTTTGAAGAAATGTGCAGGTACATCAAGTTCTGAAATGTTTGGCCATATTCAGTTGCTTAATTACCTATGTATCTATTCCATCTCTATTTACATGTAGCAGGAATCTGAAATATCATCTTGAACAATGGTGGGATTCAAAAAAATTTAGTACCGGTTCTGTGGGCATGGCTTGGTGGGCGTAGTGTGGCTTGGTGGGTGTGGCAGAGGACGGACACTGTAAAATCTCCACTCCCACCCCACTCCAGGGAAAGTTATTGCAAAATCTCCATTCTTCCCACTCCTGGGGGAAGGTTACTGCAAAATCCCATTCCCTCTAACCTGCTTTCCAACTCCATTCTCCTGTGCAGGGCAACCAAAGAAGACCCAGCTGATATGCTGGGGCTCAGGACGCAGAGAATAGGTGGGAGCAGGGCCAGTCAGAGGTGGCATTTGCTGGTTTTCCGAACTACTTAAAATTTGCACTACCGGTTCTTCAGAATTGGTTAGAACCTGCTGATTTTGAACCTATGTTGTTGAATGGCAAGAAGTCCTTAAAAAGTTAATTTTGCTTATCATTCTTTCCCAATATAATTTATTTTGCACCATCTGCTGAAACTCACATTGTATTAACATAACAGCAGATGTGAATATTTAGTTAGAAGAGGATAATTTAGTTAGAAGAGGCACCATGTTCTTCTCAATATTTGAAGGTCAAAATAAAGTCTGAAGGCTATGGAACAGGATTGCCTGCAAGAAAGAATTATGAATCTCCACCCACTCTCCATTTTATGTGTAAGGCAGAAGGGTAGAATTAGGGCATGCAAGTTAGTGTATTAAGGAAGAGACCATCTATCCATACATAGGAGTTTTCTAATAATTTTATTTTATAAAATCTAATTGATGGGAGCTCACCTATTTCAAAGTTAGGCATAACTGGAAGTAACTTGAAGCTCTGTATTTCTATACTGTCATCAGATTTTTAATTCAATATTGAACAAGGCTTTCTTCCAACACAGTCTTTATTCATTAGAAATAAACATATAATTAATAATTGACATCAAAAGTCTGGAAATATATTTACAAAAATATCTCATCAAGGCAAAATATCTGACGTTAGGAAACAAATTATGAAATCTCATTTAAAAAAACATTTTGATCAACTGAGTTAATGAACTCTTGATAAAACCTGGAATTACCTGGAAGTTAAATAATTATTTAAAACAAAATGTGATTGAAGATGCATGTTGAGGTGTTAAAATTCTTACTATATTAAACTCTAACATTTACAGGCATGTTTGACTGTAGCAGTGTGTTAACTAAATAGAGCTATATTCATATTTTACCACAAACATTCATATGCAGCCAGATCAAGCAAAAACTCTCCATGTGTATGTGTGTGTGTGTATAATTTTTAATTAATATAATAACTTGTACATATATTTTTTTATGATTGTAAGCTGCCCAATTACCTTGTTGGTAAGATGGACAGCCAATGAATGAATGAATGAATGAATGAATGAATGAGAAATAAATTCTTCAAAATCTCCAAAGCAGGGACATATTGTCCCAATAAATAAATGCAGAAAAACCATAAAAGACAATTATATATTTTCAACAGGTTGCATTTTCATGTCTACTTCTTACTCAGTATGAAATTTAGCAATGCATTAATAACCTTTTCATGAGAAATAAAATTGTGTGTTAAATAGAACTTTCCCCTTGAATTGAGGCAGAACTGGGTTCTGCCCTCATGATTTTATTTTAAAAAAGATGAAATGGAGCTGCTCAATTTTTTTTTCATACCCAACTTTAACAAATGGCACTTGAAACTTTATTCCTTCCGCATGTCAAAGTACTTGTAGTGTCACCCATCTCAAAAAAGGAAGGCATAAGGAGGAGAGCATTGCTTGATCCTGGATACTATGACATTTGTGAGGTCAGCAGAATTCTAACTGGGGTCATTGTAGAATGTCACCCATAATGACTACAGAGTACTGACAACAGTATCATGCTTAATTGTAACCATAGTCTATAATTGTAACTATAATTGATTATGGAGCAAATTCAGATAACACAAACAAATTTCTCTTCTTTTGGCCTTATATAACAGTCAATGGAAAGCATTAACTTGTCCAATTTAGTAGAATTTAGGTGAAGAGTATTTAATGTCCAGACATGAGAATAATCTTTTCTCCCTAAGATTTTGATTATCTATTACATTTCCTGATGTTTAAAACTCTTACAGATTTTAGCTTAAATGCTGAATGAAGTCCAAGAACATTGACATTGTGATGGTAGGGTCTTTGCTGAAACAGCTGCTTGATTTGGCAGGCCTGCAAGACAACAGTTGGGAGACAAAGAACAGTCAGGGAGTATAATAAATTTCCTGAAGAATCTGAGCCCGAGCCCTAGAAAGCAATTTACTGCCTTGTTCCAGTAATTGGTAATGCAAAAAATAGCTGTGGAAAATACAGGTTTTACAAGACACCATCAACTTCTATTGTTGACGTAAATATTATAAATTTCCTTCTCTAGCTTATTATAATACTGGTTTGGTTTGGTTTGGTTTTTCAAAAAATGTTTAACTGCCTGTTTGCCATTTCAAACAGAAAATGCCCCAAATTCCAGAGCCTTGCCGACTCAGACAGCTGTCTAGATTGGCAATTCTACAATTTGCTACAGCAAAGTTAATTGACTAAGGGCAATGCTAACTGGCAAACAAACTACCAGCTTGGCAAAGGAAAGTGGCAATGGGCAAAAATGTTTGTATCTCAGCAGTTTAATCCTAAAGCAGTTGTGACTCTAGCAGTGACCCAAAAGACGAGATTATAGAAAAGAACCAGCCATACAGCCAACCAACCGAGTGACCATTTGCTTCTTTCATTGATTATACACACTTATCTTGTCTCCAGCTACATGGTTTATCACTGCCAATTGTCTCATTTATCCCCTTGCCTTGCTGAAATCTCTCCATCTCTCTTGCACTTTCCACAGGCCTTTGTAGTTTTGTTCTCTCTCTCTCTCTCTCTCTCTTTTTTTCTATTCTCAATTTCTTTTATTCAGCTGTAGTAACCGAAACTGTCTACAGTATTGAAGGGAAGGTCATGCATGCCATTTATGTAATATCATTGTAATTTGTAGCTTTTTCCAGGTTATTTTCTATTCCCCTTTGAAACACAGGCTAACTTCTTATTTGCTTTTAATCATCTCCATGCACTAAGCAGATGCTTTTACTGAACTGTCTGCAGTGATTGTATCTGTCCACAATCAATTCCAATTGTTTCTTTCAATCTATGTTGCTGCAGATTTAATTTCATCTACCATTCGCAAGCTACTGGCTTTGTTAAGAGCTGAGCGAACAATTCCCATCCCTTTACTGATGAATGTTTAACAGTAAAAAGACAAAAACTTAGGTTAGGTCAATTCTATACATTTCTTCACAATTCTTCCAGACTGTGTCATTCTTTGGCTTTCCACCTTGCTCCTCCATTAATCAATCTGTATTTCCTGGGAACAGAACATACACAATCCTGTGTGGGATTGTTGGAGATTTTTGTTCCCCTGTTGATTTAGGTGTGGGTTGTTTGTTTGTTTTGTCATCTATACACCTTTGGCTTTCTTCAAATCATTCTGCCTCTGCAGACTATGACAGGAACCAGCTTTGAATGGATAGATCAGATACATCAGAAACCTAGCAGCCATATTCTACTTCAGCTGTAGCATCCATAATACTTGCAAAGATAAGCTCCAGGGAAAGCACATTATAATGATCTAACTGGGATGTGGCATGTCAAAATGAATATATTGTATTTATTTAAAGATGTGAAGTGCATCTTTGCATGCTGCATTTGAATTCTTTCACAATGTAGAAAATTGTTACAATAGAAAAGGTTTATAAGATATTAGGCGATCAATATGTAAAGTAACTAGATCACTTTCCACCAGAGCCTTTAACAGATTATTGGACTTCTTTTTTTTTCTTAAAAACAAAACAAAAAAGAAACACAACTTGATGTCAACCATTAATTTTCACATATGCAAATCTTTAGGAGCAATTGAATGATGCATCACAAAATAGTGCCAAACTTATTAATACAGTAAACTATCTCCCTGCAGCAACATTCTACCTACCACACGAACAATATGCACGATTGTACCAATAATAATGCAAGAAAGGAACCATCTTCTCAGAATGTTGCATGGAAATTAACAATGATTGTAAAAGAATGACACTTTTCCAAGGTGCACATCTTTAGTTTCTGAGGACTCATTCTTATCTTTCCTCAGAATTGCAGGGATACACTGCATGAATATATCTGGTTATGCTAAAGGCCGTGGCTACAAAGCAGGACAGACCTTTAAAGGAGACTCCAACCATGCCTGGAATGCAGTTTACCTTGATGGAAAGTGGCATTTGGTAGACAGCACTTGGGGGAGCGGCTCTGTTGATGAATGTAACAACACATTTACCTTCAGGTGCATGTCTCTGGTTCTGGTATGCTGCTGGGGGTGAGGATGGGGTGAGGGCAGGGAGTAATTATGTACATTGCCAATAACATTATGACCCCTCTCTTCTTGTTCTAGATACAAGGAATTTTACTTCCTCACCCACCCTGCACTCTTTATTAATGATCATTTCCCAGACAACAGCAACTGGCAGCTACTCAAACCAACTGTGGCATTAAAACAGTTTGAAAAGAACATGAAGTACCACAGTAACTTTTACATGATGGGACTGCTGGTGGCCCATCCAGAAACACCTATTATTCAGACAGGTACAATCATACAGCTTCTTGCCCCATGCCAGTATTATTATTACATATAAGATTTCCAGCTTTTGGAAGAGAAAAATTACAGCAAAATTTAAAACTGAGGGTGATTTTAATTAATTTTAAAAGATTAGCTTGGTAGAACTAACCTATGGATCTCAAATTTCTACAGTCATACTCACTTTTGTACTTATGCCAAGTATAATTTATGCCAAGTTCAAAATGCCACTACATAATTAGTTGAAGGAGTCCCTAGAATTTTTTTGTATATTTCAATTTCAAAAGAAAACACAAAAAAGGTTAAGAATACAAATGACTTATTAGGTGCAGGTTAATAAGCCTGATATATAAACATAAATAAATATTAGTTCATAGGTTTAGTGATGTTTTCAGTTATCCCTTCAGTGTCAATTAACAGTTTAACTAGACCAGGAATGTCAGACCAGATCATATTGCAGACCATATCGTGACGTATCGGGTTTTTTTTTTCTTTTGCCCTTGCAGGGCCAGGGTGGGCATGGCCTGCAGAGGCCAGATCCAGCCCACAGCCACGTGTTTCACATGCCTGAGCTAAACAAACATTTTCATTTTAAAATTATCCCATGTTGGATATCAATGAACCACTGGAGGCCTCAGGTTTGTAGCCTCCTTCAGAAACCTGCGGACTGTGGGATGTCTAGACAAAGATTCCACTCCCCCCAAGGATAGAACAAAGGACAAGGCTGCAACCTGCCTCCACAGAATATTAGGTGAAAGCCCTTTGTCCAGGCCCTCTTGGAGGAAGTCCAGCACCTGGGCAATCGAGGCCCCAGAAGGGACAATGTCATAATTACAACACCATGCTCTGAAAGCTTTCCAGGTTGCATTGTAGATGCGATTGGTGGAGGGTCTCCTGGAGGCATGAATAGTTCTTATTACGCTGGAGGAATAATTGTCCCGGATCAGAGATCCCCGCTCAATCTCCAGACGGCCAAGTGAAGCCACTGGGGCTCTGGATGCAAGATTGGCTCCTGGCTGAGCGACACTCTGTCCTCCATATCCCCCAAGGTCTGGAAATGGAAAGGTTTACTAAGTCTGCAAACCATGGGCTCCTGGGCCAATGAGGAGCTACAAGGATAGCTCTGCTCTTTCCACCAACAGTTTCTGGATGACCCTTGGGATCAGGGGCAGAGGAGGAAAAGCATACAGGAGCTCCCATGGCCAAGGGCTGCGTAAGGCGTTTATTCCCTCCACCCCTGGAACCGCAAACCTGGAATAGAATCTCGGGAGTTGTGTGTTGTTCTGGGAAGCAAAGAGATCCACTGCTGGGCATCCAAAGCGCTCCGACAGCTCCTGAAACAAATCAGGATGCAAACGCCACTCTGCATGGTCAATGGTGGCTCTGCTAAGCCAGTCAGCCACGCCTGTAATGTGCTCAGCTCTGAGCGACACCTGGTGTCTCTCTGCCCATAAACCGAGCTGCCCTGCCTCCAGCATCAGAGGCCCTGAATGAGTCCCACCTTGGCAGTTAATGTGTGCCTTGGTTGACACATTGTCAGTCAAGATTAGGATGTCCTTACCTGAGACCACGTCCTCTAATTGTCTCCGAGCCAAATGGACCTCTCAAAGCTCTATCCAATTAATATTATGGTCCAAATCTGCCTGGGACTATTGTTCTTGGAGTACCCTGGATTGAATGTGGGCACCCCAGCCATGAAGACTGGCATCTGTGGTCAGCACTAACCTGTTCGGTTCCTTGAATAGGAGTCCCATAGAAAGCGCCTCAGATGACCACCATCTTAAAGACTTAAGGACCAATGGAGTTAATCTGACCTGTAAGAGGGAACAACTCCTACCTGTCTTCTTTTTTTTTTTTTTTTAAATATAGTTTATTAATTTTTACAATTAAAACCAGTCACAATACATACACAAATAAGCAAAAGAAAGAAAGAAAGAAAAAAAAAAGAAAAGAGAAGAGGAAGAGAGGGAAAGAATTTTAAGAAAAGAAAGAAAGAGGTTACAGGATTAAAAGTATTCTTATTTAACAGTTTGCAAGATCTTCTTTTGTTTTCATCACCTTAACTTGTGTCATATAACCACACCTGTTTTTAACTTATATCGCTACCTCGTTGTTATGTATTGGTACTTTCCTTTTATGCCTTATAATATATTATTTATCTTTGGTCAATCCAATTATACCAACAATTCCAGCTGTCATAGTATAGTGAAGTGTCTTTGTTTTTTAGCGCCAAAGTCAATTTATCCATTTCTGCGCATCTTGAGATTTTTTCAATAATCATTTCTTCTGATGGAATTTGGTGTTGTTTCCAATGTTGAGCGAAGGCTAATCTGGCCGCTGTTAAAATGTGTATTGTTATGTATTTAGTTTTTTTGGAAATTTGCTTATCAAAAATCCCTAGTAGGAAGGACTCTGGTTTGTATTCGATCTGCTCTTTGGTGATTTCTTCCAACCAAGTTTTGATTTTCTTCCAATACTTTTGGGTTTCTGCACAGGACCACCACATATGGAAAAAGGTTCCTTCTTTTTTCCTACACTTCCAGCAATGCGGACTCATGTTGGGGTGCATCTTCGCTAACCTCGAAGGGGGGAGATGCCATCTATAGAACATTTTATAAAGATTTTCCTTGTATGCTGCCGATTTGGTAATCTTATTGTTTCTGCCCCAAACTTTCTCCCATTCCGCTAATGTGATGCTACGCCCTACATTCTTACTCCAAGCAATCATATTTCCTTTTACGATTTCTTCTTCTAATTCTGTTTCTAATAAGTAGTTATAAAATTTTGTTATGTTTTTTTTATTTGATCCTAATAAAATTTTATCTAACTGTTGTAGTTTGTTATTAATTCCGAATTCTTTTTTGTCTTGTTTATATCTGCTTTGAATCTGAAGATAAACCCATTGATCAATTTTATGTCCTTGCTCTTGAAGATCCAGCCTCGGTTTCAAATTTCCTTGTGGGTCTAATAAGTCTTTGTATTTAATCATTTTAGTAAGCTCCAAATTGTTTGGGTGAATCATTGCCTCCATTGTTGAAATCCATACTGGTACTTTTGTATAATGTTTTTTCCTTATTTTCCTCCAAATTGTTAATAGTGCGTCTCTAATTAAATGTCTGTGGAAATATTTTTGACTGGTTTTCCCTACGTCCCATAGAAAGGCGTGCCACCCCCTTTGTAAATCATGGCCTTCTAGAAATAGTATTCTTTTATTGGTTAAACTCACCCAATCCTTCAACCAAACTAATGAGGTGGCCATATGGTATAACTCCCAGTTTGGAAATGCTAACCCTCCCCTGCTCTTCATATCCTGCATTGCTTTTACATTTATTCTGGGTTTTTTCCCTTGCCAAATAAATTTCAGAGTTGTTCTATTGAGTTCTTCAAAAAACTTTTTATGTAATTTAATTGGGATCGTTTGGAATAAATACAAAAATTTAGGGAGAATGTTCATTTTAATAGTAGCAATTCGGCCTAGTAGTGAAATTTGAAGTTTCCCCCACAATTCTAAATCTTTCTTTACCTGATGTATCAGCTTATCATAATTGTTTTCTTTAAGTGTCTTACAGTGTGGGGTTAGCCAAATTCCTAAATATTTCACTTTCTTTGTCACTTGTATCTGCATTATTTCTTCTAGTTCTATTTTCTGTTTTTCTGTTAGGTTTTTGGTCATTAATTTGGTTTTTTTTTTGTTTATTTTAAGTCCCGCTACTGCTCCAAATTTCTCTAATTCACTCATCAATTTTGGTCCCCTGTCTTTTGGTTCTTCAAGGAAGAAAATCATATCATCCGCAAACGCTTGCAATTTATATTCCTCTTTCTTAACTGTTAATCCCTTTATATCTGAATTCCGCCTAATTCGTGTTAATAATGTCTCTAATGCTAATATGAAGAGCAGGGGAGAGAGTGGGCAACCCTGTCTCACTCCTTTTTCTATCTTTATTGGGCGGGTGCATTCCCCATTCACTATTATATTAGCTTGTTGTGTGTCATATATAGTTGTTATAATATTTTCAAATTTGGTACCCAGATTCAAATTATAAATTTTTTGAATTAAAAATTGCCAATTCAAATTATCGAAAGCTTTTTCTGCATCTAGAAACATGAGTGCTACTTGTCTCTCTGGGTGGGCTTCATAAAATTCTAGTACATCTAATACTATTCTTAGATTATTCTTTATTTGCCTAGTTGGAAGGAATCCATTTTGATCTTCATGTATATACAAGTTTAGCAATCTTTTTAATCTGTTTGCTATAATAGAAGTGAATATTTTATAATCAGTATTTAAGAGTGAAATCGGCCTGTAATTGTTTATATATCTGGGATCTGTATCCTCCTTCGGGATCAGCGAGATCAGTGCCCCCCTCCATGAGTCCGGCATCCTAGCTGCTAGTAAAACGTCATTAAAAACTTCCACCATAAGTGATCCGATTTGATCTGCTATTGCCTTGTACAGCTCCCCTGGGATCCCATCTGGGCCCGGGGTTTTATTATTTTTCTGGCTCTCTATTGCTGATTTCAATTCCGATTCAGTAATGTCTTTATTTAATAGTTCAGCCATTTCTTCCCCAATTGCCTTATCCTTTACTTCATCTAGATAATTCCTTATTCTATCTTCACTGACATCCTCTCTTTTGTATAAATCTTCAAAGTATTTATGAATGATTTCTTTTTTCTGTTCTATTTCCTGGTATGTATCTCCTTTGCTATCTATTAACTGGTATATCAGTCTCTTCTCTTTCTTTTTTTTCATTTTATAAGATAGCCATCTTCCTGGCTTGTTGGCATGTTCAAAATAGATTTGTCTAGTTAAGTTCAAATTCATAGTCATTTTCTCTTGATCAATTAAATTCAGTTTATGTTTGATTATACTTATCTGATTTTGCAGTTTGGATTCTTTTGGGTTATTTTGTAGAAGGGTTTCTAGCTCCTTAATTCTCTGTTGTAATTTGTTTTGTTGGGAGTATTTTTCCTTGTTTCTCTTAGCATTATAAGAGATTGTTGTGCC